ACTGGGCAGTATTGTAAGACTTCTTGACTCAAAACGAATGGTTGGATCATAAAAACCAGGAACCAGTGGCCTTTCTGGGTCTGGTTAAATGATGGTTTTTACGGGTCGAATGGGTTAATTTATCAGTTAGCTAACAAAACAGCAATGGGTGGGGGTAGATCATCAACATGTAGAGGTGGGGCATGATACCAGAGGGGTAGATCATCATCCCATAGAGGTCAACATCATGTTAGACCTCTGTTGCAGCTTCCAACACCTCAAACTGCCAAATACAATTGTTGATGTCTATTATTCCCAAGTTGAGTGGTCTTTGATTACTCTTATTGCATGTGTATGCTTAAATGTCTGAACACATTAACTAGTTTTGCTAAATAAACATTGTTGCAGGAGAGTGGGTCTAGATGGTGAGATGGGAATTCGTAACTTGTCTCTCAAGATGGTTCAATTAAGCAAACTAGATAGTTTATTTAGGGTTCAAAACCATGGTTTATAATTTGTTTTACCTAATCAGGTTAGTGAGGGATGGAGAGAGTGGTTGAGGAGTGGTCTGAACCATGAACCATGGTTCTGAATCTTATGAGAGAAAGAGAGAGAACTTTCAAACACTAAGCTGTTGTATAGATGATAACTGAATAGCCTGGGCAATCTATTTGGATCTTTTCTTCCTTTCATTTAATAATTGGGTCCGGTTTGGGTTGATCTTTCACACAAAATCAACAAACCTGACTTGACCAATCAATTGCCTCTAGAGAACTAAATGGGATCTTTCTCTAGTATTTGGGAGAGAGAGAGAAGTTCTGTCATGTGGTTTTGCAGTTCGGATTTCCTACTAACTCAATTCTACAATCCTCTCTACTAACCCAATAAAACAATGCCATTTATACCTAAACATGCTTTAGAATCCTAACTTGTGCAAATAGTTAATAATTGTTATTGCTCTTCCGTCAGACATCTTTTCCTAAAAAATTCTTTTACTTGTGCATGATTTCTTTGTAGTTCCTCTCACCCTCTCCTTTCTGGTGTTGCCGAAATTTGTTATATTCACCGATGAAGAAGTTTGAACATTGTAATTTGGGTTGGCATCTGGAGCCCGATTAATTGTTTCAGGATCACACCCTTTAATGGCTGAAGAGGGGGAGGATTTTGCCACTGAGGTAGAGGACCTGCCACGATAATTGTTTGAAGCAGTGGTCCTGCTTCTATTACAGCATGCAAGAGTCTCCCCTTTTGGGGAAGCTGCTTTCCCTTAACCAGATTATCAATTACTAGAGAAGCCCGATCCACCTCTGTTGAACCTTTAGACACGATAACACTATTTCTAGCAGATACCATATCCATGGGGATTAACCTGTTACATCCTTGTACAAAGGGGTGATGTTGCACGCCTGTGTTACTTGAATCAGCAATGTTCATGTTTGTGAGCTCAAATGATGAAATTGCATCATTGAAGGAATCATGGGAGTGGTGATTGAATGTTTTAGAGAGACTATCAGACTCAGTAACACTTGAATTTTCCGTCTTTGGTTGCAAATGAGGACTCTCAGGCTAAACACATGGGAAAACAGTGCAGATTTCAGTTGGACCTAATGGCAAGGCATTGTTAAGTAGTTTCTGCAACTGATGTTGTGCTTCATCTCTTTCTTGCAAGCTACAGGAGATCAAGCAACTGCTTTACATATTCCTCGCTTTTTCTCATCACCTCCTGTGCATTCATCGTGGTTGATTCTAGTTCAATGGTTGTGTAGTGAAATKTATGCTTGAGGTCATCCATTCCAGTGAATATAACAAATTCCAATAACACCAAAAAAGAGAGGGTGAGAGGAACTACAAAGAAATCGTTCACAAGAAAAATAATTTTTTTAGGAAAAGATGTCTAACAAAAGGGCAATAACAACTGTTAATTATTTGCACAAGTTAGGATTCTAAAACATGTTTAGGTATAGATGGCATTGTTTTATTGGGTTAATAGAGAGGATTGTAGAATTGAGTTAGTAGGAAACCCGGACTGGTGGTTTTGAACCATGGTTTAGACTTGTTAGGTCAGGAGGGGGGAGAGAGAGAGAGAGAGAGAGGGAGAGAACCATGGTCAGACCTGTGATTCTGAACCTTAGGGGAGAGAGAGAAAGAGAAAGAGAAGAAAATGGGAAACAGTAATTACCTTTTTTTGCCACCTCAAAGCTGCCACTAAAAATCATATTTCTTGTATTGTATGTAAATATGTATAAAAATATACAATGCCAATGTATATAGTCGAATTGGGCTTAGCCTAAGCATAACGGAATGAAGAATCTTGCATAAAGGGTGCTTCGATTGAGTTGAAGAATCAATGCTAAATAGGGCCTGGATGAAGCTTATTGTACAAGGGGAGAACAACTCTATTTTCTGGTCTAGTTGTAGCGGGAGTAAGGGGAAAAAAAGAAAAGTATAGTAAGAGAGGTGGTGATGGCGGCAACTCTGTTTCTGGCTTCAACCGCCGTTGTTGATGGTGATGGCGGTGGTAGTGATCGTCACTTTTCCTCTTCCCGAGGTAAGATAACTCAACCTCATGTGGGGGTTGTTCCAGACTTGGCATCTTGTCCAATCGGTGACGGTGATGATGGTCCAGTGAAACATCACTTCTATTGCTCCTCTCTGCTCATGGGGTCATTCCCTACTTTCATTGCGTCGTTCACTCTCACGTTTTCCCCTTTGGTTACTTTTTCGGGCCTCAAACTTCTCTCTTCTCAAGATTGGAGGGGCTTTCTAGTTTGTTCCATTATATTTTTTATAGTATTAACATTTTATAAATATTATTTTATATTAATAATTTAAATTAATTTTAATATTAAAATTTTTATAATGTTAACATTTGAACGTAAATATTAACCTTTTGAAGAAAAATTAAAAATAAATATATTAAATATTATTTTGTTAACTGCCGGATAATGGGCAAAACCGAGACCCATGGAGCATTCCAGTTTTTGTCCCATTACAACATTGGTTACTAGTGTGAACAGACTTTGGACGTTGGACCTGGACCTGGACCTGGTCTTTGGCTCTTTGCTTAGCCGTTTCTCGTTATAAGAGATGACTAGATGAGAGAGTTTTAACTACACTAGTCAAACAAAGACAGCATAAATAGAAGGTCCACACCCTTCCGGCTCCTTGTAGTCTTTATTTTTTTAGTGTTAATTATTTATATATTCTATACATTCAAGAATTATTATATATACTTTGAACTTTCAAAAACAATTTTTATGTACCTTAAAAAAGGGCCCCACATGATACAAACAGGACATTTGTCTGTCAAACAAAGGGATCGAATCCAGTAGACACAGTATAATTAAATATTAAAT